CATATGGTTTTAAAAAATCTGATGGGGTAGGTTATGGAGATAGTGGTGGTAAAGGGCACTGTAGAGAGCTAAGTGGCCAGTGAAAGGGATGTGATATGTGGAAACTATGAGTACCATGAGTTAAGTGGGCCAGAAGGAAGGTACTGGGAATTTCCTTACTTAGGGAACTGGGCACCCATTCACTGGTCTGCTTAAAGGCTCAAATGACTTAGTTGATATCACTGATTTGCAATATGTGGGCTAAAAGGGAGGAGCAGGAAGGTGATTTCCATGCAACAGAGGGAAATTAAATTTCCCAGGCAGAGATGGTTCAAAAAGCAGAGATTTGGCATAGACAAGACAATACAAGTACTATAGTATTTGCTAATGTTGTGAAACCATCTGCAAATTCAAACTGTCAGTAAATATACCAGATATATTCCTCCTGCTTCAATAAAAATATCTACTTCTTTGTGGGCTAAAGAGTTTACTGAATGGAGGTTTGAGTCAAGGTTCAAGGCTTGAGCACCAGAAAGGTAGATGTGCCAGGAATTTTTTTTTTTTATCCAAAATGGTAGTGTTGACCATTTTGGATAAAAAAATATTTTCACCTCTGGACAATTGATGGGATGAAAAGGAGTTGATACATTAGAGACTTGAAATACAGGGACTTTCATGATTTCCAACAAATATTTTCATACAACCTGTTCCTGGAAGGTCAAGGTTTAGCCCCAAAGGTCTTGGGTCATTCTGCCTCCCGGAGGGCACAGGTGAGACCTTTCCACACTGAAGATTTCCCTGGTTCCTCTAATTTTTCCAACTCAACATTCCTTGTGGGAAAAACTTCACCAGTCCGGGAAGTCTTGGAGGAGGGTGTATGGGTGAGAAGTGGGGGTGTTGGAAAGAAGACTTGAAATTCCTTCGTGTTATCTGCAAATAGAAAGTTCTACTGTCCTCCCCAACCCTGTGCCCCCCCTTTTCAATTATATATAGGCGATCAGGAGGTTTCTCTCATGCTCTTAATCTCAGTTACCTTAGGAAGATCTAAAACCCCCCTTGGGAGAGAAACTGAGTAAGAACAAAATAGTATTAGAAGGCTCTTCCCCCTTGTTTTGCCCTTCCCCATTCTCCTAACTCCTTTCCTTTCTTCTTTCTCCCAGAAAGGGCCTTTAGTGGAGAGGCCTTTGGATCCATAGCCCAGGCTCCGCCCTACACCTCCAGCCAGGCTGCCATCTGCATTCGTAATTAACAAGTGTACCTGACCGGAGTTTCCTACCCTGTTCTCATTGGGACACCTCGTGCGTGTGTGCAGGGTGGCTCCCAGTCTCTCTAGCCTGGCGTCTCGGGCTGATGGGTGCCCTCCTCCTCGACGCTCCGGGAAGAGCCCAGACACAAAACCCTCCACACTCCCGCCCCAGGCAGCCTTAACCCTCCCACTCTTGGGAGGAGGAGTTGGGGGAGGTAGTTTTGGTCATTTGAGACTTCACTCTCCATCCAAAAGAGAGCCGAGATCTGGGTGGAGGCTTGAGCAGGAGGGCTGCAGCCCCAGGCTCCCGCAGTTCGCAGACCCCTCCCGCCAGTGCTCAGCTTCTAGTTCCTCCACTCTTTCCGCGTTCTTGGCCTCTGCCGGACCAGGGGCCCAAGGCCAGAACTGTCAAGATCAGGAACAACTCCTCGCTAAACTCGCCTAGTTAGACACAGCCCTTGGCAATGGGGGGGGGGGGGGGGGAATCCACCGGACGATCCTGCTGGGGGTTTCAATATCCTCAAGCAACTGTGGGGCGGGGCTGGTGAGTCTTTAGATTGAGCTGAGCAATAGATTATGGGTCTCCAAAGCCTGATTTTTCTGAGGCCAGTGATCAAGGCTCTCAAGTCCTCTGCTTATACTTTTATTCCAGCAAATGGGCTCCCGGCTTTAGGCTTGTGATTTTGGGGTGCTGGGCCCCGAGTTCGTATAAGCGTACCTCAACCGAGAGGAGTGCAAGAGGCCACAGCTTTTGTAAGCTAGAGAGACATGGTTCAGATCTCTAGGGGCCCTTGGAATCAGCAATTGAACCACCTCACCAAGTTATTCTTGTTTGTGATTTTCCCCCTTTCATAGGCCGTGAAGTCAACAAACTCCCCACACGGTGGCTCCCTTTACTAAAGCTGAGTGAATTGCACAAGGAGTCTTGGAAATTTTCAAATTTTCTCCAGATTGAACTCATTTCGGAATTCGCGTGGGAGGAAAGAGTAAGGATTTTAATGGGGTTCACCTTTGACGTGAAGCAAGGCGGAAGACAGGAAAGCCACAGTAGGTAATAGCTTTTGGGCGCTTTAGTAAGAAAGGCTTCTCTGCTTGATTATCCGGTGGTGTTCACCGCAGGCTCTTTGTGTGGGAGCAGAGGCAGAACTGAATAGCGAACACACGCATGTAAACACTCCGACATAAATCAGCGGACATGTGCAGCCAAGACAAAGAGATTCATCCCTATGTAGATATGTTTTAAGTTTTATTGAAGGCAGGAAGCCTAGAGCATAGCTAGGAAGAAACTGAGGAAGCAGGCAATTTTGGTCCACTCCTGGCCAGGAATAAGTACAACTTTATCTTCTTGGAGGAAGTATTAAATCTCAAATAAGAGCGGGAATGGCATTGAGAATGAGAAGTATTATGTTTTTGGAAAAGCATACAGAACTAATACAGCTTATTTAAATGTTAGATTCAAATCATAGTAACAGGAAACACTCCCACTTAATTGTCAGACTCTAATTTTTGTGTTAGATCCAAATAATTAAAATGCACATTAATGTTATGGATGTGATTCCCTTTAAAAGGAAGTAGACCCGAAATCTCTTACTGGAGTAAAAATTTATGAATCTTCTTGATTACAGGGACTTGGAAGTTCAGGGTGAATGTGCTCTTCCCTTATTGCTTTTCTCTTCATACGTCATTTTCAGTTAAAAAAAATTAACCATTCCCAAGGGAGGGATTTCTATTAGAAATCCTCAGCAAGTGAACTTGTACTGGGAATCTTCCTGTTTTCCAGTCTGGCTGTATTTCCCCAAACAGAATTCAACTTGTAAAGTAAGTGTAAAAAACATTTCTCACCACCAAACTCTTAAAATTTCAATTCTTGTGGAAAACATGATGTCGCAGTTTCAATTTTTAAAATCAGTAAGAGCCACAGAAAGTGCGAAGGTGTACAAACAGGAAAAAACTAGAGATCCAGGACTGAGAACAGATTTCTCTTTACTGAATTCTAAGGCAGGGATGGAGATGGTTGTCAGCATTAGGACATTCATGAACATTGCAAGGGTGTTGTATCTGAACAGCAGAGTGATTTAGACAATGAATTGCTACATTAATAGCACCACTGCCAAGTCTTCAGATTGAGAGGCTCTGGTGAAAATTAAACTGGTGGCAATTTTCAACATTTGTAGCATCTGCGCCCAAACAGTTCAGCACCTAGAGTATGGACAGCTCCACAGGCCGGTTCCTGAAGTGGCCTTAGCTCTAATCAATCTACTGGTAGCCAGACTGTCAACCACAGCCAGACGCATTAGAAATTTACTGAAAATCCTCCAAGACTTCCCTTTAAAAACAAAACGACTTCCACATTTAATTGTCTATTTGAAAGAACATACGCAAGAAATTAGGAGATCTAAATTAAATTTATTAATAGGAGAGCTTGATGGTGCTTCATTCCAGAGATCAGAGCTCCCATTGGTAAGGCTTGATGAAAAAGTAAAAGAGAAACAGTAGGGATATAGTTAAAAACATAACTTTTACCCTCCTAGAAATTCTACGAATTCTTTACCTGTCCTTGAGAAATGGGTGAAATTGAAAACCATCAAAATAATTGGACTTCTTAAAAATTGGATTGTATGAGTGAAAGGTGTTTATGAGAAGTCGATGACTCCGGATCTTATCATCCTAGAGGACAGCACAGAATAGTTAATATGTTCCTTGAGGGACTGGGATGCTGACGTCTTTTTCTGATACTCGATCATTACGTGACTGAAAAAAAAAAAAAAAGAGGAAGTCACTTCATGAATAAAAATCGGAGCGCAACAGTGCAACAAAATATTCTGTACTTAAAGGCAAGAGGCAGACAGATGTTGGCAAAGAGGGTTCTCCTAAAACCATGTTCTGGTAGATTTTTTGCTAACTGCATATATAAATACGAGCAGACGTCCGGTCACCTCTGTAACCACCGGCAGCAGCAGAAGAAGCCGCATCTTCAGACGCAGCCAGAGGGACCTCAGAGCAGAGAAGGAGCTGCCTGACTCTAGAAGCTGCCTGACTGGGCAGCCCGGCTGCACGGCCGGCTCTCTCTTTTTCCTTCCTCCCCTTCTTTGACTTTCCCTCTTTTCCTCTATCACTTGCTTCTTTCTCCCGGCGGACTTAAGCGCCACTCCGTTCCCCCTCCCTTAGGCTCGTCGCTTCCTCTTGATTATACATCTCTCCAAGTCACGCTCCCTCCTAGTTCTGAGTCTACAAACTTTTGAACGGAATACTAGCCCCAGCAAACAAGTCCTCCAGCTCCTCCTGCGGCTCCTGCTCATTCCTGCGGCTTCTCCTCAGACACCAACGCCAGACGGTGATGCCTCTCGGGTTGTGATTCCAGCTCAGAAACTTGAAGGAGCCCTTTGCCCGCCATCCTTTTTGGCAGCAAACCCTCTCATAGCAGCGGTAAGAGTTGAATAATAAGGGGGGAAAAAATCTCACCAAACCAAACGACTCACTTGACTGCTGATTTTTTTTTTTCTTTTTCCCGCCAGCATTGGCATCAGGGTACGAATTAGCTTTTCTTGTACCAGGTCTGTCTAGTTATCGGGAGCTGGGTGTATGCAAACATGTTTTCTTTCTAACTATAGCAATCGAGAAGTGGCAGGGCGCGCGCTGGCTGTCGCTAAGTGGTATTCAACGCAGGGAGCAGAAGCTGCGCTCCCTCCCCCTGCTCCCGGAGTTTCTTGGGGTCGCAGGTTAGAAGGCCAGGGGCGTTCTCACGGTTGTGTGTCCTCTTTTCCATCCTGCGCAGAATGACCATGTGTAGCGGAGCAAGGTTGGCCCTGCTGGTCTATGGGATAATAATGCACAGCAGCGTCTACTGCTCACCTGTCGCCGCCGGACTCCGGTTCCCCGGGATCAGGTAGGTGCTGGGCGCCTGTGTTGAGCCGGGGCTTCCCTTTGCCGAACACTTTCTGACGGTCGCCCTCCTTCAGTTCCCCGGGTACAGGCTACTAAGCATTGTTCCCCGTATCCCCAGTTCTCTCTGTCAATCTTGGCTGGGCCCGGGGTCCTGGCCCTAGCTAATCCTCAGGGCCAGGCAGGCTCCACAACGGCTCGGCACCCCTCCCCCAACCTTACGCATTCCTGGGACCCGGGTACCGTGAGTGAGCTTCCGAGTGTTGGAGAAACCTCCCTTCCTCCAACCTGGCCCGAGGCGGGGGCAGGGCAAGGTCCCCAGCTTGGCTTCTTTTACCTATTCTTAGGACGAGTTCGGAGAACATCGGTTCCCAACGCTAGTCAGGGGGATGAATGTGAAGCTCCCTGGACTTTGCTTTGTTACAGCGCTTTCTGACTATTGGGGCGGGGTCTCTCTCCCCTCCGCCCTTCCTCTTCACCTCATTCGAATTCTTTCTCCTCAAGAGCTTTCTTTCAAGGGATCCATGTTCCAATTGCATTTTGTGTCCCAGACTGTCTTGGGGAGGGCAGTGTTGGCAGTTTATTATGGCTAAGAAAAAGCAACTTGAGAAAAGAACAAGAATGAGCCTGCGAGGGAGGGGGAGAAACGGATGCAAAGAAGGAGGAAGAGAAAGCATGCAGGCAGACAGCCTTGCCTAGCCCAGGGTGGAGGAAACCTGGCTTTTCCCCTTAACCCCCGGTTTCTAATCGGATGGCACAGCCCGGGTTCCCCATCGCAGCCCCAGAGGACCCCCACCGATGTGCGGGATAGTGAAAACGCGTTGGGCAGCGCAGAGTCTCGGTGGCACTCCGGGCAGTGAGGAGGGTAGCTCTTCCCAGCCGCGCCCAAAACGTTTGGCTCAGGGGGCGGCCGACCGTTGTTTTGGCGGTAGAGATGGGTTCTAGCTACAGTGTTAGGATTCCAGCCTCTAGGTACAGGGCAGGACAAAAGTGGTTAAAAAGACCTGGTTCGGGAGTACCAGGGCCAGGGCTGAGGCGCGTCGCCAAGAAAAGACGGGGTGTGGCGCGTGCTGAGGGATGTGCTTGCCTTGGTCTGGCCTCTCCAGGGATGGAGGAAAGGCAACCAGAGTAACAAGTAGGACTCCAGCCCTGACTAGGGAGAGCTACTTGTCCTGGTAGAGTCTCTCCAGCGGCCCAAAGCGATGGGGCTTTGTGCTTTAACCCACCTCTTCTGCCCCATATCAAGGATGGAGGCGGTAGGTGAGGGAGACTGTGACGTCCCCAGGTACCCGCGATGTCGGTCCCCTGTTGACCTGTGCTCTGGTGTTGAGATGGGGTCCCTCCGCCCCGCCATCACTAACAGATTAGCGTTAACTATTTATTTAGTGTACTTAAAAGCCTTCTTATTTCACCTCCAGCTATTTTCAAAGTTGTGTATGCCTGGCACTTTCCCGGGGTGAGAGGCACCGGAGGGCGTGTACACAACACTCAAAGAGCCGCCACCAAACCGGCTAAGTTTAGGGGCATCTATTATTCATGTTCCTGCCAGATCCTTTCAGGCCCAAAATAGAAGCTGGAGGTTCTCCGTGACCTACATCCGTGCAGGGAAGGGCTCCCCTGGGCTCAGAGGCTCGGGTGGGGGTGGCTGCCAGAGTTAGCCGCCACACATACCACCCCCCCCTACCCACCTAGCCTCTCCATTCGGCTCTGGGCCTCTCCCCCTTCGGGTCTTCGCGTTGGTCAGTGTCTAATCTCCTAGAACTTTTTTCGTCCCAGACTGTTAATACTTTGGGGAACCTCGGGTGCTGGGAGGGCACAATTCTTTCTAGTGGCCAGGTACGCATGATTAGCAGAGACTAAGGTAGACTAAGGTAGCATGATTAGCAGAGACTCGGTTTCCCAGGGCTCCTGCAGGGCAACCCTTTTGCCAGCAGAGGGGTGGGCAAGCTTCCTCGTGGAGTAGGAATTTCGGTTGGATGTAGTTCCCTCCTCCTTACCATTACCCCCACCTCTGCCCGGGAAGAAAAGACAGATCTCTTTAGGGGACCTTTAGGAGGAAGGAAAATCAGTGCGATCTCCCCTCTTTGGGTCCTCGCAGAGCTGGGAGGACTTGTAATGACCACTCTTTCTGGCTACCTCGCAGTCCTGAGGATGAGGCTTACGACGAGGACGGAAACTCGCTGCAGGACTTTTACGACTCGGACCCGCCAGGCGCAGGGAGCCCCGCCTCTGCGCTGCATGACGCCTACGCTCTCTACTATCCAGCGGAGAAGAGGTACCTCCGGCGCGGCCTCCGCGGCAGCCCTGGACCACGAGCCCTAGGACCAAGGTGGTGGGTAGGGGTAGGGTGGTGGCCCACAGAGTACGTCCGTTTTCATGAAAGTCCTAAAGTCTCTCTTTTGCCTGGCCCGATCCCACGAGACCGAAGGGAAAATAGGAGCGGGAGGATCTGTGTGGACCTAAGGACCGCGTAGGGACCGAAAGGTCTGTGGCCCGAGGAATGTCAGTGAGTGCGGGCCTCGGTAGATGGGGAACGCAGACTCCTGATCTGCCACCTTCCCAGGTCAGATCTAACTCTAGATCCCAGCATTCACTTTCGGGAACTTCTTAAGAGAGTTAGTCTCAAGTTCCTTGCCTCTAGGCGTTTCCCGGTCATCCTGCTTGAATGCCGAGAGGCGCGCGCGCCCAGCAATGGGGTCTTGGGCTGCCACGGTGGGGGCGCGAGGCAGTGACCATGGGCATACATTTTGCCTCCCGTTAGAGATGTCGCCCAAGGGATCCTTAACAAGGCCTACCGCAAAGTGCTGGACCAGCTGTCTGCCAGGAAGTACCTGCAATCCCTCATGACCAAGAGTGTGGGGTAAGAGTTGGTGAAAGAGTTAACCCGCGCGCAAGGGTGCGCGCGCCGGGGTGGGTGATTGTGGAACGCGCGCGGGGTGGGAGGGGCAGTTTCTACGTCTGTGCGTACAGGTGAGGATCGGGGTGCGTCTGAGCCCTGCCGTGTGGGGGTACTCGCCGCCAGCAACAGGCAGAGGTTTTGAAGTGGCATGTTAAATTTGACAGGAGAGACGGAGATCAGGTGAGAGCGGAAAAGGGAAGGAAAACGGCGGATTTTGATCCGTTTTGAATGAAAAGAAAGAGAAACCAAACGAAACCCCCTAGTCATTCTAAACCTTTAAGGTTCTCGGGAGGATTTGCTATAATTTCCAATGAACGCGACATTTTTTCGGGGGAGGGGCATTGTGTTTATTGTAAATTCAAATCGAAGTAAACAAATCACTAAATTTGGACACTTAGGGAAACAGTTTTTGCTCACGCCAGACAAACCCAGAGCTTAGGGCTTGCGTGAAGCCTGCCTCAGCAGAAGGCAACATTTTAATAAAGCTCACGGGAAAACAGATTACATTTTCGCAATGAATAATTCATGCGGTGAAAAATATTGCCTACAGCCTGTCGACTTATATTATTATCACGTTTTTCAACTTAGCGTGCTGAAGGAGAGGAGTGCTTGTATTTGACTAGGAAATGCGGGATCGATATAAACACCAGGGTAGCAGCCAACGTGGCATTTAGGGCCTTTTGGTTATTTTCTTTGTATATCGGGGATGAGAGGAACAGTTAGGGAAATCGAGCGCAATCGTAACGATGGCCAAATCTTAAAAGGCAGCCTTTGGAGAGACTTAGATCACGGGCCATCTTCCCTGATCTCTTTTGGGGGGGGGGGGGCCTACTGTAGGAATTGGTGCCTGGAAATCCTGGGGGGTAGGGAGGGCCGGGGGGGGCTTCCATCACAGCCCTTTCCAAAGCCGCTCCCTGGCAGAGAGAAGGCGGCGCGGTGGCCAGTGCGAGCCCCTTGTCCCCCCCTGGAGACTCCCGCGTGGGGTGGGGCGCGTCTGCTCCCGCAGGTCTTGAATCTGTATCTCCCGCCTGGTCACCCTTTTCCCGACCCCTTTCCTTGCAGTGGGAACCTTGGCGGCGGCGCGGAGGAGGACTGGGAGCCGCTCTCCAAGCGCCACTCGGATGGAATCTTCACAGACAGCTACAGCCGCTACCGGAAGCAAATGGCTGTCAAGAAATACTTGGCGGCCGTCCTGGGGAAAAGGTATAAACAAAGGGTTAAAAACAAAGGACGTCGAATAGCGTATTTGTAGCGATGAGTTACTTACTACCCTGTGTATACAACCCTGACACAGTGAAAAGTCGTTTTCCAAACTGACTGAAGTCATCGCTCATGTGTTCTATCCAAACATGTATTTATGTATGAAGTAAAGCCATTAAATGAATATTTTGATAATAATATTGTTTTTCTTTTTACAAAGCACTAGAGAATGCACAGATATACTTTGTGGACCAATATATATTATAAATATATATATTAAGAATATATATAAGTATAACAGAGAGCAACTCATACAAAGTGTGCACAAGGATTGAAAATTTGCCTGAGCTGTTTATGTTTTTATATAAAATAAATAGAAAAATAGACAATCATTGTTTTGAATATTACTCCTATTTTTGTAAACTGGAATTAAAAGGATAGTATTTTTATCCACGACAGGCCTGAAGATATTAATATTGACCATTTGCTACTGTACATAAACAATGATGCCCTGCTCCAGGGGGATTTTGAGGTAATGATTTGGAGAATTGCTGGAGGGCATTCTTTCCCAGTGAGTCTCTGGGGCAGGCTGCTTCAATCCCAGCCTAATATATTCAAGTGGGCACTGTCCCACTGGCTGGGTGGCAATTCCAATATTTTCGCTTTCTTTGATTCTACTTTTATGTGTATTTGTCTCTCTTCAGACTCTCAGCCCAGAAGGAAAATTCTAATAAAACAACAGCTCAATCCAAATTGTGCTTCTCCCCAGAATTGATTCCCTTCCCTGGATGAAGAGTGAAGGGACTGTACAGAGAAGGGGAGCTTGGGTAGGAAGCTCTCTTTTCTGTACTTCCTGATTCACCAGGGAACCAAATATCCCAAGGCTAGGGCAATTGGAACAAAAATGAAGGAAATAGAGGTATATTGGAAGAGGCAGAGCATAAGGCAGTAGGAGGAGACCCTGGAGCGGGACTGGTATGAGGCTCCCCAAGTCTGGGAAGCTGGGAGTGAGTCCAGTCCCACCACAGGTCCACTGCCTGCCTGATTTTTGGGTGCTGGGTATTGGAAACGGATGCAAAGTACAATGTGTTTTTCTCCAGTGCTGTCCATGCTTCTCATCTTGTGAAATGGCCAGGATTCTCCCCCCCTCTGAACCCAGCTCTGTAGAAGCCACCCTTTTCCTGTGTGGTTTTTCTGAAGACCCTTTCTTCCCACCCTCCTGCACTGTTTAAGTACTGTTTACCATTTTTTTTCATTCACTTATCTTAAACTTGTGAATGCTTCTGTTTTTTGTTGTTGTTTGATGCAAGCAGTTATTGTAAAGTTTAGGAACTCCTGTGTAGCTACCACTAAGTAATTATGCACTAAATATGAACCTTTTGTTTCTTGTTTATTGAGTTTGTAGGTAAAATGTATTTTTCTACATTATGGCTTATTGCTTAGTAAAATTTATTTCATAAAACCAATCTTTGTCATAATAGAATGTGTAGTGTTCACATGTTGCTCAGTTTTACTAACTGATAAATCATTTAAACCTCATCTTTCTATGTATGAGTACTATCTTATATCTGTGGTCAAGAATGAGGTAAGCAAGCTCCCTAAACCACCCTTGTATCCTTTCTTGGCTAAAGAAAGCATGTCTGTTTCCTGTCAATTCCTTGAACATATAGAGTAATCTTTATAAACAAAAGAACCTTCACCCAGCAACCAGATCAAGCAGCAACAGATTAACCAGTCAGTCCATCTCCCAAATTTCAGGCACAAATTTTTAGGAAAAAAAGAAAAAAAAGAAAAAAAAATTAAGCATTAGTTTTTAAAATTTAAAGGATCTTTCCTTTTCCTTTATGGATTTGATCAGTATGAAGTCAGACATCAAAGAAAACAATTGTATTTGCATTCCCAAGGCGGGATGGATGCTGCCAGGAGATCACATTGCAAACAGTAAAAACAGAGAGGCATTCGATCTATGCCTGAGTCCTGCGTATAGGATCAATCTTTCTTGAATTCCGCAGTCTCCTCAGGCAATGTGACACGGGATGCAGTTTGCAGCTTTAGTGCCTTTCTTCGCCTTTTAAATCGCCACGAATCACAGATGGCTATTTAGTGGCCCTATAATGCTGCAACACATCAGCTTGCATTTTAGTCTTAATTATTTGTTTCTTGGATAATGGGCAGAGTTTTCTGTATTTGTGTCAGCTGTTAGTGGTGAAATAGGGCTCTAGTTAACCTTTTATTTATGAAGTCTAATTTAGTGTTCCCGTGGCTAGTTGCAAGCATTTTACAGTGATCACCCAGTTTAATCTTTTGTATACTTTTTAGAAATGCCAAGAGCCTTACTAAACTGGAGCAGATTTATGATATAGTGATAATTTAGGTAGATGTTAGTCTTGAAGCTCTTATTTTGTGTGCAACTGATTATCAAAACATCTTAACCAAGTATTATTACACACATGATATCTATAACTAGGACTTTGATAACTGTTATATAAAGTGTGTAAAATTTGTATGAATAAATTTTTGTAAACAATGCAACTTGGTCTAATGTTTGGAGAAAAAAGACATTCAGGAAATAACTACTTTAAAATCTTTTAAAGTACTATATTTCTTTAGCAGTCATAAGATTTTTCATGTCTGGAATATCTATGTAAGCATCCACATATTTTCAGAAACTGTACTCTGATATCTGCTTGATGGGTTACTGGATTCAACTAAAAATTTAAAATAGCTGTTCAGATGGAGAAGCCTAAGAAGACATTAAGCTCATAAATAGGCATGGATGTTGGAACATTTATAAGACATACTTTAATTTCCATCCCCTAGTGTGTATACACATTGCTCCATATTCAGAAAGTTACTAGGGAGTGGTGGCAGACAATACTGGAGTATTAGTTATACTTCTAAAATAGCTATCTAACATTGTTCTTTTTACAAGTAACTGTATACTAAATGGGTCTTGATAAAATTTTGTATGAAAATGATTGACATCAGTTTTGGAGGTTTAAAAATGTGTTCAGAGATACACAAAGTTGTCTCTGACTAACATGTTGTAGGTAGATGGAACAAGAACTTGATAAAATAAGGAGTTAACTAGATAGACACCTTTAAAAGAAAATGTATTTTGTCAGGTATGGTGATGCATGCCTGCAATCCAAGTGGATTGGGAGGCTGAAGCAAGAGGATTGCAAATTTGAGGCCAGCCTCTGCAGTTTAGGGAGGCTTTGAGAAACTTAGACAGACCCTGTCTCAAAAAAAAAAAAAAAAAAGGCTGGGGAGGTGGCTCAATCCTGGGTTCAATCCTCAGTCCCCTCACAAAAAAAAGTCATTTGTGAATTAGTTTTTAAAATTTAAAGGAACTTTTCAAACAAAGCCTTCACATGAAATTCCCATAAATTCCCAAGTGGTGTTTATTTTGGAGCCCTCAACTATTTCTGGGTTTAAAAAAACATTGTACTGAAAAACACTTTAAGTCTTATCATTTAATTTAAAATGTCCTAACTTGAATTCTAAAAATGTATTCAATTAATAAATCAATAAATATGTCACAATAGTATTGAAGGAACAGCAAGGGTTCAGAAAGTATTTTTAGTATTTCAGCAGTTGAGGCCCAGAATCATATAGGGAGGAATCCATAATAGAAATCCCATTTGTAGTCAATTTTTAAAAAAATGAATATAGTCAGTTCACATTTACATTGGGTTTTATTGGATAAGGAGTTTGTCTTCCCCATTTTAGCCTGCCCCTCTCCCTGCCATGTAGTCCTCCTATGGTAAATGGGAAAATGAAGAAACATAATTTATTTGCTTGAAGGATAATGACTTGTCAAGAAAATAAAGATAAGCCCCAGACTTGACTAATACCAAGTGAAGTTCATATATCTGGCAAGTTGCTATATTTTCTTACGTGGGATAACTCCAATTATGACTTTTCTTAGGAAGACGATGTAGTATTCAATAATCCATGATATGTGCCTTATTGCTGCTGAGGCTGGGAACACACTGATCCAACCCAATATAAATTTATCAAACAACCTGAAATGGGCCAGGCAGGCTGATAGAAAGAGCTTGACTAACCCCTGGGAGGAAGGTAGTATTTTTCTGTAACAGTCATCTGGGAGATTTACTAACAATGCAAATTGTAGGGTTCCATCAGAACCAGTGAATCTGCATTTTCAACAAAACTCTACATGAATATGCACGCAAATTTGAAACTACCTAGATTTTAAATTTGGTGACATACATAGGCACCTATATATGCTGAGGCTGGATGTTTTTTTCATATTGAATAAGTAACACTTCACTGTCCCAGCACACAGGAGTAAATATACTAGTAAGCCACATTCTCCCAGAATGGACATTAGGCTCTTGGACAATTGCAGTATTTCCTTCAAGTCATTAAGGTCACTAGTTAGTGTTATTTTTCTTCTACATTCTAGTTGGACCTCTCTGTTACAGGCACTTTTGGAAGGAGAATGACCCTCCAGGGTATAAACTATTCCATCACATGACTTGGGAAAAATCAATGCTATCATGGAGAGAACCTGCACAGCTAGCTGACATTAGTTCTGGGGATCCAGAAGTCAACTTCCAATTGCATTATGTCCCAATGTTCACAGAGTGATTTTGCTTAGATGCCCCACTGTGGCCTTGAACACAATCCTGTTCACGCTGTTAACAGGATTAGAAACCAAGATGGAGCTGGGCCTCTTCTCTTTCCTTGTTATCCTTCTTTGGAGAAGGGAGATGTCTGCTTCCCTGGCGGCTGCCTCTTGCCTACCACTGGGTTCTTACATTGGTTTGTAGCTGATCATCAGGGCCTTGCTCATTTCCCCTTCAACCAGGTAGCTTTAACTTCATATTCCTCTGATGAGATATTTCAGAATAGCCTCCTTTGTTGTAGGGTTTAGGTTCTTTGCTTATCAGTCTTTCCTGTCTGTTCTTCAGTACAATCCTGTATCTTTAGAAAGACAGGTTCTTGTCAGTCTTTGAAATGCAGATGCACATTTCCAACTCCCGACAATCTCCCATACCTGGAACTTCTTCTTACTTCCCCAAGATCAATATTCTTTCAGGTTCAATAATTCAAGTCCTCTTTTTCTAGGAATCTCTCTCAGAGTCATCATCATATCCACTCCCCCACATCAACCCTTGCACTGTTTTTCTGTATTGCCATTTCTGATATTTATTTATTTATTTTTGCAGTACTGAGGATTGAACCCGGGGTGCTTTACCACTGAGCTGCTATCCCTATTCCCTTTTTATTTTGAGGCAGGGCCTTGTGACTTTGCTGAGGCTGGCCTTGAACTTGGAATCCTCCTACCTCAGCCTCCCCAGCCACTGGGATTACAGTGTGCACAACTGTGCCTGGCCTGATCTTTAATTTCAC